CCCTTGATCGCACTTTAAGAGATTAAACTGCTTATAAAAACTGGCTTTCTTCGATTTTTTTTTTTTTGCTTGATCCAGTTTTGCTGTGTTGGAAGACATGGAATCGCCCGCAAAAGGTGACAGCCGTCAAGGCGTCAAGGCAAGCCAGAAACACCTAGAGTTTCAACTGCAGCGGGAGAAGGCCTACACACGTGAGCTTGAAGAGAAAATCAAGTCGCAACAAGCCCACATCGCCAAGCTTGAGCAGGATAAGGCTGAACTACGACGAGAGATGATTACGCTTGTTGAAGATGACAAAAAGAAGACGAAATTAGAGGAAAAGTGTCATCTGCTGCAGAAGGAGATGGTTGAAAAGCAGGCCGCCTTGGCTGCCGAGCAAAAGCGGGCCAGTGCAGCCGAGTGCGAGAAGGAACAAATCAGGCGTGATGCTCATGCGTCCATAGCGAAGTGGTGTGAGGCTGAAAAGCAATGGATTGCCGAGAACGAGGTTCTTCAAAAGGAACTGGATGATGCGAAGGAGGCTTTTGCAAAACTAAAAAGCGAGTGTGATGTATTGATTATTGGTCGGGAAGATGCACTGAAGCAGTTACAGCGCGAAAAGGAACGCTTTTCGAAGATCGAAACAACGGCCGAAGCTGCTGAAAAAAAAATTGCGTCTTTGCATTCACGCATTGAGGCGCTGCAAAATGATATTTACACGCGAGACGAGACAGTTTTCAAATTGGATGAAGCTGGCACCAAATGGCAAGAGATATGCCATTCAAAAGACGAGGAAATAAAAGCGTTGGAAGTGCAAGCAGAAAAACATTTAGAGACCATTGAGAAGCTACAGAGCACCATTTCTCTGCTTAATCAACGCATTGAGGCCGCGAAGATCCTCAATTTGGAGGAGAAGGGGCGTGTGGAAAAGGTATTGTGTGATTTGCGTGAGTCTGAAAAAGAGAAAAAGCTCCTTCAAATGGATCTGGAGACTGTGCGTCGCGACCTTGAGTATGCATCACAAAATGCAGCCAAACACCAGGAATTAGTGGCAGACCTACGTACAAAGTTGGCGGCATCGTCTGAGCAGGTAAAAGAGAGGAACGCTGAACTACGAAAACAGGAGTTGTCTATTAGTCAGCTGACAGCTGAAGTAAAGCGAGTGGAGCTGGAACGAACAGACAGCAGTTACATGGTGACTTCTCTAGAGAATCAACTTCAGGAACTTCGTGACACACTTGCCCAGATGCAATCGGTAAATCAAGCTCTTCAAGAGAAGAATGTAGCGTTGGAGGCTGAGGTTCAACAAGTGAAAAGGTCTCATGAAGGGAAAGACGAGGCAGCAGTGCTTATGAAGTCTGAGTTTGAAGACAAGATTGAAGTTCTTCTTGGTGATATTAAAAATTTGGAGTCTGAGGTGAGTGCAAGACAGCAGGTAATCAATAGTATGACTACACAACTTGGCGAAGCTAATATGAAGAATGAAGAGCTTCATAGTTTAATTATACAAGGCTCTGACACGTCCAAAGAACTTAGTGGAGTGATTGAAGACTTGCAGAAGGAGAAGAATAAACTTTCCCTCGATCAACTGAGACTTCAGCAAAAGGTCACTAGGCTTGAGTTGTGTGAGGAGCACTCAATTGAATTTCGGGATGCTCTTTTGATACACTCTGCGAAGACTCTGGGGGCCGCGATGGAGTATATGGGAGAGGTAGAACGGCTGAAAATGACAGTTGACAGGTTGGATACTGAAAAAAATGCCACCGTGACTAGACTAGATGCAGTTAAGGTAGATTTAGAGGAGGAGATACAATTACTGAAGGAACGTGAGGTAAGACTTATCAACGAAATTGAGGCACGGAATGGAAAAATTGTGGCTCTTGAGGAAACGCTTCAGAAGTGCGAAGATGCTTTGTCCGTGCTGAGGAAGGAAATTGAAGTACAACAAAAAATGTACGAGAAAATTCAAAGTAGTGAAAGACTTCTTGGCGAGAAGCTGGCAGAAACAGAGTGTCTACTACAGCAGACATCCAATGTATCTGAAAAGCAACTCTACGTTTCACAATATGCGACAAGGTGGCTTGATATCGCCACGCAGTCGTTAATGTTTCTTCTTGAGGAACATATCACATGGATTTCAGAAAAAATAGATATTGTCTTCACAGGATTAGAAAGCGCTTATGCTAAAGAAAACGAACAAATTATGAATGCATTGAATGCCTCAAATGACACTCAAAAGGAAGCTGAGGAAAGATGCGCACATCTGGAGTTGAGGCTGAGTGAAGCGGAGTCCCATTTAGGAGAGCGCGAGAAGACATTTGCCAAAATTTCAGAAAGCCACATGATAAAGGTCCGTGCTGCTGACAATCAGCGGGACCTGGCTGAGAAGGCGAGAGATGATCTATCGCGGCGATTGAAGTCTTTGACGGAAAAGCATGAAGGTGATGTGGAATTGAAGGATGAAAGAATAAGGGAGCTTACTTCTCGTGTGGAGGCGGAGAGGCGCAACGGTCAACTGATAGAGGAAAAAGTGCAAAAACTGCGGAGAACCCTGGATTATGAACTTGGACGGAAGGGTGACTACAAGCGTGCCCTTGAAGAGGTTAAATCAAAGCGTGAAGAGGCAGAGAAGTACAGAGCGACTGAAAAGGATTGGGCCATGAAGGCAATCAATCGTGCCAATGAGGAAGTGAACTATTGGGTAAGAAGCTTTGATAAACTGAAATCCATGTTGGATGAGATGTCAAAGAGATCGGGGACGCGGGTCTCTGCCGTGGATCAAGCGACAATAAGGAAATTTGAAGAGGCGAAGAACAGACTGACGTTGCGCGATCAGGACGTAAATATCACCCCCCAAGAAGAAGAGAATCGTAGAGAAAAACGTCAACGTATAGAGTTTTGATTGCTTGTTTTATGCACTGGGCAAACAGACACTAGATTGTAGACGAGATGCTGGATTGGACTGGATGTGTACACGAAGACAGATATTGAGTTGCTGGGTTGTGCAGGCATTTTTTTTCTTTGGCTTTGTGTGTGTGTGTGTGCGTTTTCGTTGAAATAGAGTGAGATGCATGATTTGAAAGAAAAGAAAAACATGGCTCTATGTAGCAATGTTCCTTTCCGAGTTTTTTTTTTCGTTGTTTCTCTTGTGAAGTTCGGTGTTTGATGCTAAGGATACTTGGGATCCGTTATCGTGCACGAATCACAGCGTTTAGCCCATGGAAGAGCAGGCCTGCAGGGTTGAATCTTAACGGCCGCCCTCAGATGGTAAACCCTCGTTTTTTCAGGGGTGAATACAGGCGCCAGAATCCCGATGATCCCACGCGCCTTTTAAAGATGAAGCATGTCATTCTAAAGCGCTGTCATTCATGCAAACGAACGCTTTTTGTTCGTCTTAGCGAAAAAAATCACTTTCATACTTGCTGCGAAGGGATGCCTATGAAGGTGTATGCGAACATGGAAACAGTGATGAACTCAGAACACAAATTATTGTCATTATCCAGGCAATGGGACGTGGAAAATAATCGTCCGTGGTGCAGCGCCCACAGACCACGGCCGAAAGGTAGGTCAAAGTTTAAAAAGTGATTCTTTGAATGTGTATGTTCCTGTTGCCTAATGTGTGTGTACAGTTTGCTGCACTTGATAAGCTCAACCTGCTGGGAATTCACCTCAAGTGAAGCGGCCAGCTTCTGGTTTTCTTTTTTGATGAGGTTGTTGCCAATATTCTTATCAATGTTGCTCTTGTCCTATTGTTAATAGTTTTTTGCCTTGACTTCATATACTATTTGGGGACAATTCTATTAGAAAACAATGGGGTGGTTCTCTTGGTTCTGGGATATGCTCTCCTACCTTGGACTGAGTAACAAGACAGGAAAAATTTTGTTTCTTGGTCTTGACAATGCCGGAAAAACAACACTGCTTGGAAAACTTGCCACAGATCAGGTTCATGTCCACAGGCCTACTTTTCATCCAAATGTGGAGGAGCTAACTCTTGGCGGCATCAAGCTTAAAACCATTGATATGGGTGGCCACTTGGAGGCTCGTCGTCTTTGGAAGGACTATTTCACAAAGGTTGACGGCGTTGTCTTCATTGTGGATGCCGCTAACCCGGAACGCTTCCCAGAAGCAAAGCAAGAACTCGATATGCTTCTGCAAACCGAAGAGCTCGCCAAGACTCCCTTCATCATTCTTGGTAACAAAATTGACATGCCACGTGCAGTCTCAGAGGAACATCTTATTGCCGCCATGGGCCTCACGGGCCTCTCTACGGGGAAGCAGAACAAGGTGACAGACGCAGCCGTACGCCCACTTGAAGTATATATGTGCAGTGTTGTCAAGAAGGTCGGATACGGAGATGCCTTTCGTTGGCTTTCGCAGTATCTGCAAAACTCATAGGGTTTTTATAATGCGATGTGCGTCGTCATATAACTTTTCTTTCTCATCAGCCTGATAGGAAGAGTACCAGACGGTCTCAGTTTTTTTTTCTACCGCTACTGCAATTTGTGAAGAAGAAATTTTTTTTTGTTCCTTGTTTTTTCTATTCTTCACCTTCTATTGTATATATATATATATATATACACAACTGTGTGCCGGTGTGTAATGCTTCTTTTGCATCACAAAAGGACATTGCTATGTAGTGTTGCAAATGACTTCAGAAGACTATAAGAAAGAAGACTCTGATAGACGTGGCACTTCCTGGATTTCCTCCATAGGTGGTCTTTCTCCATCGGAGTACCTCTCTACGGTGAACACCAGCCTGGAGACTGTACTAGGCAAGCTAGAAACAGGTTTCCATGTCGACACATTCAAGAGTGACGTGCGTGAGCTGTGCATAGAGGTGAATAGACTTGTTGACTACATAGAGGTATGCGGTATGCACTGCTCTGCGTCAACGTACAGCGCCCTTCTAGCCACCCTGGCGCGTTTGCATACAGCTGTGGCTCAGGTGCAGAGGTCCGGTAAGAGCACGTCGAAACCTGCGTCTGCCACGCCACGCGCATACAGGATACAAACACCCTGCCTCCCCAAGGATTTCTCTGTGTGAGGAAAAGTACACATAGAAGGAGTCGCTTTCCTTCAGTTGCTGTTGAGAAAGTGAAGCTGCATTACGCGTGTTGTTTCCTGTATTAGCCTCAACGGTGGATACCGTCTCACGTGCACCGTGCAATTTCTTATTAGCCTCTTCTTTGTTGTTGTTGTTGCCTTTGTTTATTTTGTTTTTCTTATACAAAACAAAACGGATTTTTTGGATTAGGGTGAAATCCGAAGGGGCAACGAGCGGTACGATGCCACCAAAAAAGGGGAAGAAGAAGGGAGGCAAGAAGAAGCAGGAGAGTGGCGAGATACTTCGTCTGCAGCAACTTCGCGCGCAGGAGAATGAGGCGGAGGAGTTTCAGAAGCGCGAGAATGACCGCCGCGACAGGGAGGGGCAGGAGGAGCGTCTTATTCTATGGAAAGAGGAGCATGTTCGAATCATTCGCGAGAAGGACGGCAAGGTGAAGGAACTCATGGCAAAGGTGGAGCAGCTCACCACATCCCTCCACGACGAGCGAGCTGCATCTGAGAGCCAGGTGGAGCAACTTGTCCTGATGCGAGACTCTCTGCTGAACGAGGTGAGTTTGTTGCGGGTGGAGATTGAGGAGAAGCAAAAACTTCTCCTCCAAGAGCGACACAACGCAGATATCAAGCTGTGCAATCTGCGTGAGGAAGCGGACCGGAGCATTAAGGCACTTGAGGACGATAATGAGGAGCTGCGCACGGTCCTCAGCGTCACCAAGGCAGAGCACGCGGAGTATCGGGAGAAGATGGAGATTACCCTCCAAGAAGAAGAGGCGGAGATACGCGATCATGTGTCGAAGATTGGCGGCCTCGAGCGTGAGCTAGAGAAGGCACTTGGAATGAACCGCTCTCTGCAAGAGGTCGTTGAAGCACGTGAGGCGGACGACAGGAAAAATGTCACATTGATGCAGATGCTTAACGCGCAACTTGACGAAAACAAGCGCCGATATGAGGATCATCTAGAGGAGGAACGGCGACGTGGAAACGACGCAAAGGAGAATATTTTGCAACTAGAGACCAAGTGTGCACAGCTGCAGGATGAGATTGATGTCTTGAAGAAGGAGAATACAGACATCAAGTTGGGCTCCGATGTGGCACTACGTGAGTATAAGCAGCAGCTGGAGCAGGTACATCACGACTCGGAGTACTTGTCGTCAGAGCTGCATGCCCTGCATGAAAAGAGCCTGCAGGAAACGGAGGTGACACAGAACGCAAGGGCCGCTCTTGAAGGGGAGCTACAAACAACGATGGTTGAGATGGAGGCTAACCAGAAGCGCATGGAAGAGTTGGAAATGCTACTGCGCCGCAAGGAGCGTGAGAACTTTGACAAGATCACATTCTTAAACGCCCAAATCTCTAACAACCGCACTGTCGTCTCGCAGTTGCAGCAGAAACTCATGCACGAACGGAAGCTCCACGAGACCGAGTTGTCGCGGACGAGCGATGACGCCAAAGAGAAGGAGCGCGAGTTGGACACGGTGCGCCACACCTTTGTGCAAAGCCAAGACGGCGCCAAGGAGCGTGAGGCGCAGCTCATGTCGGAGGTGGCTGTGCTCAAGGCAACGACGTTCCACCTGCAGACGCAGCTGCAGGAGCAGCAGAACAGCCTTGATTTGATTACGGCGGCGAAGAACGAGGAGATACAGCGGCTCTGCAATCTTCTGGACGCGCACTTCATCCCGCATCGCAAGACCATCGAGGGTGAGACCACGCAGTACGAGGGCACAATTGCGATTCTCAGCAACAAGATTGGCGAGTTGACACGGGAGGCTGAACTGCGCGATCAGGTGGCGCTCGAAAACGAGACACAGTCCAAGGCGCGCATCGCCAACCAGGAGGAAATCATTGAGGCGCTGCGCGAGGATATGCGCGTGTGCGAGGCGCGGCGCCGCGAAGAGGTACGGTCTGTCGAGGAAGAGGTGGCGCGACTGAAGAAAACGCTCGAGATTCACTTCATTCCGTACGAGATGTAACCGCAGGATGGGAGCAGAGAGTGTCTGGCCGTGCCTGTGCATGTAAACAACAAGGGGAAGGAGGAAAGCGCTCCCTCCCTCTCACTCCCAAAACAAGAAAAAAAGAGAACAACAAACAAAAAGTATTAAAAAAAAAACAGTCAACAAAACCATCAGAAGAACATGAAAAAAAAAAGCAAAGAAAAAGAAGTCTGGAAAGAATGTGTGCATGCTTTGGGATGAGACAAGCCCCGGCTTGTAGCAGGAGGTGTTTTGGGAGAAAATGATGCAGGCAGAGAGCTTTCTTGTTATCGCTGCCACTGATACTGTATTATTTCCCTTATTGGTCGGTCTTTGAAATTATTTGTTTTCTTTTTCACTTCCACTGCGTGAACTCTATGCCACACAATATTTTCATTCGTATAGAGAGGAGATGGCGAGTGAGGCACCACCGAATGAGTGGGAAACACCACCACCATCATCAACAGCAGCAGTGGCGGCCGCGTCGCCAGTATCCGCTGCGGCTGCGACAGCAACCACGGGTGTGTATGCTGCCAACCGCGTGTCTGGTACGTATCTCAAGACGCTGACAGGCGTTCAGCGTGGGGAAGAGCTTTTCCACCGCCCCGACCTGGAGAGGCCATGGCGTACATCAACGGCACAGAAGCACGCGGTGGTAGTGGCTCTGAAGGAAAAGGAGATTGAAGAGCTGCTGCGCAAGTGCTCTAGCCTACGCACGCAGCTTGGCAATGCGAGACACGATGCCAAGTACATGGAGTACGCCATCACTGAAAAGTGTAAAGTGCAGGTGTCTGAGATACAAAGAGAGGTTGAACGCCTTGAGAAGGCACTGAAGGTGGAGAATGAGAGTAAGGAGGAGTTAAAGACGTCAACGGAGCATCAAATCCGTTTACTGAGAACACAGCATGAGAAGGATCTCATGAATCTGCGAAATGAGAACCGTCTGCTGCAGGACCGCTGTGCTGAACTCACCAAAATCTATCAGCAACAGGTGGATGACGTCAAGAAGGCGGCATCACGGGAGCTTGAACACATAGAGAGTCTCTGCAACAGCCGGGTGGTGGAGCTGACAAATGAGCTGAAGTCTGCGCGTGTGAAGAATAGTACGGCGGAGGAACGCCACGCGGAAGAGATGGTTCAATCTAGAAACCTTATCAACCGTATCGAGACGGACTACAAGGAACGGATTCGCGAAGCAGAGCAGCGCGTCGACGACGTGCGCACTCGGCTAGAGGCAGAGAACAAGCGGCTGGACGAGGAGCGCGGCACCGCCCTAAGAGAGGCGAGGCATGCCACAGAGCAGTTGGCTGTTGCCATTGCCGATCGTGAGGAAGTATTGGTACGCTTTAAGCAGTGGGACGCATACATTCTCCGCTTGCTGGACCGCTATTACAGTGAAGTGGTGCAGCGAGCGCCGGAGTGCGCGGTTGAGCCGCACGACGCGGAGCTGCATGAGGCTCCTTTTCTCTACGCCCCGCGTAATATTCTCGAGGACCCTGATGCCAAGGTGACGGTGGAGCGCATTGTATATCGTCTGCTCCAGCTCAAGCACATGAAATTCGTAAAGGAAAATCCTCCTTCAGAAGAAACGAATGTGCCAGAGTCTTTGGACAAACTGGGGGCCAAGCAGGAGCGCCTCACCCGCGCAATGCGTGAGATTGAGGGCAAGTGCATAGAGGCCGAACAATCCCTTAAAAGTGCTGTGTCCCGCCTGTATTTCTTCAGCAACGACTTGGAGGATGCGATTGGACACTCCGGATCCGTTGCCCCACCGCAAACGCATGTCGTCTTTGTGTGCATTAGCGTTTTTAATGGGAATCGCCTGTGGGCCGATGATGCGGGTGTGGCGCGGTCTGTCGTGTCGCTCATGAACTCTGCAATACGCCCCAAAATGGCGGAGTACGGGGCGTACGAATGCTACAGTGACGGCCTAACTTTACTACTCGCCTTCAACGACCCAGTGGCTGCTTGCCGTTTTGCTGCAGAGTTGCAGTGGTGGATGATGCAGTTGCCGTGGCCACAATCCCTACTCCGCAGTGCGTGGGGCAAGGAAGAGTATGACGAAGGAAATACACTTCTGTTCCGTGGACTGCGGTTGTCAATGGCGGTTCACACCGGCGAAGCCTTTGTGGAGCCAACAGCAATACCTTGTGGGAATTCCTACCGATGTCACTACTACGGTCGTGCGGTTTCTCAAGTCATTCACACTTGCTCACTAGCACAGGGAGGACAAGTGCTTGTGACAAAGCCTGTGTGGGATTTGTGTATCTCACGGCGAGACGAGCTGGGCGCCCTTGTGGCGCGTGAGGTCGGCACCTTCCCTATTGTCTCCTTTAACAAAGAGACAAACTCGTACGAGCGGGAGCCTCTGCTGCTGCATCAAATTTTGCCACAACCACTGAGGAAACGCCGCTTCGAGGATCTGGCACAGGAGCATGCTACGCATGTAATGTCACTTGCAAAGATGCGTCGGTCTATTGTTTCGGCTGAAATCGAATGTGTTGAGGCCCGGCGTACTTCTCTCAAGGAGGCTATTGGCGCAGCACATGGGGAACTGTTGGCCGTGGATCGCTGCATTAATGCACTCACAGAGAAGGCGCGCCAGACCATGTCGTATTTTCACCTGCTACCACCAAGCGAGATGGTGACGCAGATGAACGAGTTGTATGGTCTGATGGAGAAGATCGCCTCTCGCGCGTCTGAATTGCGAGACGATGTCCGTGACATGGATCGCATGCAGGAGGAACTCGGAGTGCAGACGAGGGGATTGAAGGAATACTGTGCCCGACATGGGTCCACGGCGTCTCGAGAAGAGGAGCTGCGCCTTCGTGCCGAAATGGCGGAGTCTCACTACGATGCACAGCTGCAAGAGATGCGGCGGAGCCACGCGGAAGGGATCGAACGACTTCAACGGGAGCTGTCTGAACGTGACCAGCTGATTCAGCGACTTTACAGAGATGTTCAGCGTTCTCAAAAACGGTGATACTCGCGTCCCGTGCAGTACCATTGTTATTGATATTATTATCGTTACTGATCTCATCCAAAAAGTCCTTTCTGCAGAGGCAGTTCACGCCTGGCTGAAGCTTTGATAGAGGCATTTCTTTTTTTTTTTTTTTGTTCGTAATCTCTTCTAGATGCTTGACCCTTTCCTGCACCTCAGGTAGACATAGAAAATGCTGAGGGTGATGTTCGCTCTTCCTGCTCATATGCCTGTGTGTCTGTGCTTGCGTGGGTGTTGTTGTGTGTGGGCTTGTCCCGTCTCTTCCTCTTGTGATCTTGTTTTCCTTTTCTTTCTGTGGTATTGTACGTCTCTCTTTTTTGCTTGGCCCTGTTGCCGATATATATTTATATATATATATATATATTTGTAAAGATTGGTGTGTGCTTTCTTTTGTTGAAGGAATAGTGAAGTCCACGTTATTCTTGTGTATATTGATATACGTGGTTATATAACTACACAAACGCACACACGCATATACTCTTTTACGTATTGACATACGGTCGAGGATGGGTGATATCATACGCATCAAACGGCACCATTACGTTCACTTGCTGGATAACAACACCAATGTAACACGATGCATAGTGGGGCCGCTAGTGTACACACGCAAAGGGCATGAGCGATGTCTCTTTGAACCGCTGCCCTGCATTGTGGTACCGCCACGGTGCTTCTGTGTCGTGCAAAACCCGTGCGTGCGCGACGAGGCTGGACAGCCGGTCCTGGAGGCAAACACAAGTGTGCGGTTGCGCATGGGTGAGGAGGAGATTCGCTTTGAGCAGCAACCGTTCCCGTTGCAACCGGGAGAGAAGCTCAAGTGCGAAAATGGTAATTGGCTCTCCACGCTGAAGGTGATTCCCCCCAACAAGGGCTACCACGTCCGATGTGTGTGCGACTTTACCGACGGCGTGCGCGGGCTCGTGCGCGCCGGCACGGAGTGGATGGTGGAAGGCCCGCAGACATACGTGCCGCGTGTTGAGGTGGAAGTGGTGCGCGAGGTGGCTGCGCACGCCGTCAATGCCAACACGGCGCTGCAGCTACGCGCGTTGATGGACTTCACCGACCGTGGCGGGGTGCGGCGACGGGCCGGTGAGACGTGGCTGAACGAGACAGTAGGTGCGTACCTCCCTGCTGTCGAAGAGGAAATTGTTGGGACAGTCAACGGCATCGTGCTGAGCGACAGCCAAGCGATTCATCTTGAGGCGCGGCACAACTTCACCGACGTGTACGGAAATTCACACAGGGCGGGGGAGCGGTGGCTCGTTACTAACAAGGACGCACCCATACATATTCCTGACGTGCATGAAAGTGTTATTGCCACGGTGCAGGCGATTGTACTGAATGGGAAACAATACTGCGTGATGGAGAACCCAGTGGGAAGTGATGGTGTAATTCAGCTTGGCAAGCAGAGTGTGCGCAGAGGACCGTGCAGCTTCTTTCTTCACCCCGGTGAGAAACTCGTTGGTGGTGTGCAGCCGGTGAAGGTGATTGGAAAAGATGAAGCGCTGCTGCTGCAAGCTGTGGAGACTGTCAAGGAGGGCGGTGAGGATGGCCGCTTGCGCCGTCCTGGCGAGAAGTGGATGCTGTGGGGCGCCGCGGAGTATGTCCCCGAAGTGGGTGTTCGCATAATCGAGCAGCGAAGTGTGATTGCACTGGACAAAAATGAAGGTATCTACGTAATGGACACGACGACAGGCGTAGTGCGGGCGGTGATTGGGGAGCCGTATATGCTTAATGAACATGAGGTGCTCTGGGATAAGAATCTCTCGCCGGAGGTAGAGGCGTTGCTCGCCTGCCCCGATGGTCGTCGTACACAAGGTGAAAGGGACCCCAACTTTGTTAGCACCCGCGTGCGACACCGTATTGTGCGCTTTAATGTCCAACACAATGCGGCAGTTCAGATCTATGACTACAAGCAGAAGAAACCGCGCGTTGTTTCTGGACCGAACTTAATCATTCTTTCTCCAGATGAGGAGTTCACAGTCCTCTCGCTCAGTGGGGGCAAACCAAAAGTACCAAATGTGGTTCAGTGCCTGCAGCTCTTCCTGGGTCCGCGTTTCTCGAGCGACACGGTTGTCGTGGAGACATCCGATCACGCCCGCTTGCAGCTTAACTTGTCTTACAATTGGTATTTCGATGTAGACCGTGTGGCTCCCGACGCAAAGATCTTCTCCGTGCCGGATTTTGTTGGAGACTGCTGCAAGACGATTGCCTCGCGCGTGCGTGGCGCCGTGGCGGCCGAAGATTTCGACTCATTTCACCGTAACTCTGCAAAAATCATCCGAGAGGCGGTTTTTGGCTGCGATGCAGATGGAAACATTAAAAACTCTCTGTGCTTCCCCACCAATAACTTGGTCGTGACAAACATTGACATCCAGTCCGTAGAGCCGACTGATGCCAAGACACGGGATAGTCTACAGAAGTCGGTGCAGCTTGCCATTGAGATTACGACCAAGTCGCAGGAAGCGGCCGCGCGCCACGGCAAGGAGCGCAAGGACCAGGAGGCGAAGGGAAAGCTGGAGCGACAGAAGCTGCTCGACAAGATTGAGGTAGAACGGACCAAGACAAGATGGCTGGAGCTGCAGGCGCAAAGCGAGGCGGTTCAGGCAAGCGGCCAGTCTGTTGCGGAGGCCAAGGCCAAGGCAGAATCTCTTCTTATCGAAGTCGAGTCTGAATTGAAACAGGCGCAGATGCGGGCCAAGGCGTATCAAATAACGGCGGATTCAGAGTTTAAGAAACAGAAACAGAAGCAGGACCTCGAACTGGAGCTTGCAAGACGTCAGAACGAGCTGGAGATTGCCAAGGCTCGTCAGTTGGCAGAAACGGAGGCAGAGAGGGTACGCCGCATGGTGAGTGCCATTGGGCGGGAGACACTCGTGTCGCTTGCGCGGGCGGGGCCGGAGATGCAGGCGAAACTGCTTGGTGGGTTGGGCCTCAAGGGCTATCTCATCACAGACGGGAAATCGCCTGTGAATCTTTTCAACACCGCCCAAGGCTTGCTTGGCGGCAGCACGCAGGAAAATCCGTAGTACTGCGCCCTCACTATGTTATCTGAAGGAACCCTCTCTTGCCGCATGCACAAACATACAACGAAAATCGAAGAGAAAACGAAAGGAAAAATAAAGGTGCAGCTATGGTCTTCGGCGTCGGAGCTTTGAGTCAAGGATGCGGATGCCTGAGAAAAGAGGAAATCCAAATTTGAGCTTTAGATACCGTCATGATGCACGGGAAAGTCTGTGTGGTGTGGCCGAAGCAGCTAATTTCAGGCGTAGGAAATGACCAAGGATTCAAAGTGAAGCAATCGATCGTTTTTTTTTTAGCGGTTTTAGTTCTCTTATTTTGCCGACCCAAAGCCGACCTGTGTGCTCTCTGCTCTGTTCTTGAAGTTCGTGTCCAAGTTGGCTCCGTATGTACTTTGGCGGGGGGTTTCTTTCGCTTTGCGTCTTGCTGCATTTTCTTGTCGGCCTTTGCGTTCCCTCGCCACTGCCGCTTCTGCGTCTGCTGCTGGCTAGCTTCCCCTGCCTCACACACACACACACACACGCCTCTGCCCCTCTTCATCACACGCCTCCTTTTCTCGTCCTCTTTTTTTTTGTTTCTGACTCTCTCTACCGCTGTCGCACGCAGAAGGTGACGCCGGCCATGGCGGATAAGAGTAGCGACGGAAGCTTTGTCGACCATGGCCAGGAAGCAGAGCTCAATGAGGACTCGAAGCCGCAGTGGAGCGTCGAGAAGTTGGGCTGCAATGACTACGATGACGATGACGATGACGACGATGACGATGACGATGACGATGACGACGATGACGATGACGACTCCGGCGTCGTCATGTGCAGGACGACCACCCCGCGGGACGTGCGGCGCTCGGCGTCTGTGGCGCGGCGAGAAAGAGAGCACGGCGAACGTCTTTTGCTGAATAATAAGCGCCTTGAGAATGAAAAGGCAGAGCTCATGCGCACCAACGCGTTTCTTCTTGAAAGTAATCGAGTGCTCGCGCATGGCGTTAGCACATTGGCGGACGCGTTTGCGCGGCAACACGACGAGTCACAGCTTGTAGATGCGGGTCTGATGCGGGGTCTGCGGGAGATAAGGGAAGCTGTACAGTTACTGATCGAAAGAACTCCAATGTCGTAAGTGGGCAATGAGGCAAGGGAGTGCCATGGAAGAAAGGGATGTGTGCATCGATACGCTAGGTGCGTCTCATGGATCGCGTAAAGTTCAAAGAAGGTGCTGCAGTGGTGCACATATGCCTCTCTGTTTTCTTTCTATTTGTGCATGCATTGTTCTTTGTTGATGTTTTTTTTTCTTATTTTTTTTGGTTTTTCTGCTCTCTCTCTCTCTCTCCATCTCTTTTCTATGTCTCTCTCTCTCTCTCTCTGTGTGTGTGTGTGTGTGTGTGTGTGTGTGCATTTCTACGCGTGGTGTCGGCAGGTAGGAGCAAGTGTGTTACGAAGGAAGGGAGAATGACTAAGTTGGCTGATTTCAACTTCAATGCGGATATGACGAAGGACATGCAGGAGGACGCGCGCAACTTCGTCATTCAAGCCTTCGAGACGGAGTCGCTTGAAAACGCTGTCGCCTCCTTCGTGAAGCGGGAGTTTCAGCGGAAGTATAAGGGTGTGTGGCACTGTGTCGTGGGGAAGAACTTCGGCTCTTACGTCACACACGAGACAAAGGGTTACATTTACATCACATGGGGACAAATGTCAGTTCTCCTGTGGAAGACGGTGATGTGACATGACGCGGATGGTGGCTGTTGCGGTGGCGCCGCATTCCATCAGTCCTTGGATAGGCGTAGAATGTACAGGAAGGGTGACACGATTGCAGCTGGGTTGCTACCACTACTACTACTACGATTGTTAGTGCTGCTTCTGTTCTTGTTGTTGGTTCGTGTTGTTGTGCTGACTGTTTATCGGTGATGTTTTGCTCCTCTCTCTGCCATGCGGGGCGCCGGATTTGTTTTCCTTTTTCTTTTTCTTTGATTTCGCTGCTTATCGCCATTTATGGTTACATTGGCTCTGTGAAGTGGTAGAGGAAAGCGAAGGGAAGCCCACACCTTGCGCCGGATGTCACTCTTCCCCTTTCGGGAAGAGCGGCACATTGACCAGCTGTACGAGACGGATGACATATACGACTTTATTGGCCGTGGGACGTTTGCGTCAGTCTTCAAAGCGGTGAGTCTCGTTGACGGCAAGAAGGTGCAAAAGGGGGATGCCGTCGCTCTCAAGGTGTTCAGCAAACGCGACCTCACCTCAGAAAAGATGCGCCTCGACGTCATAAACGAGGTGGAGGTGCTGGGGCGCATTAGCCACAGCAACTGCCTGCAACTCCTCGACTGTTTCCACACGCCGCTGCACGTCGTCATTGTGATGAACTGCGTCGACGGCAGTGAGCTTTTCAAGGCCTTGCGGGACACTGTCTTCTCGGTACCGCAGGTGCGGTCGGTGGTACAGCAGCTGCTATGCGCGCTCGCGTACCTCCACAACGACGTCGGCGTCGTTCACCGGGACGTGAAGCCGGAAAACATTTTAGTGACGCCCATCGACGGCGGTGACTTCCACGTGACGCTCGTCGATTTCGGCCTTGCGCGAGCGTTTCCGCGGCATGGCGGTGCACGTGCGCGGCTTGGTGGCGCCCGCTTTTCGCTGCACGGCCCGCCCAAGTCGGCATCGGGCGAGTCGCTCGACTCGCACTGCGACAGTCCCCTTATTGCGACGCCCTGCGGCACGCTCAACTACGCGGCGCCGGAGACGGTGAAGAGTCTCACGCAGAGCGGACAGCTCGCTACCACGCCGGACCTGCTATCTCGCATGGACGTCTACGCAGTGGGTGCCATCTTGTACGTGATGCTGGGAGGCAAATTGCCGTTCCGCCATTCTGGTAATAAGATGCAACTGGTGAAGGAGATGGAGGACGGTCCGCTCTTTGCCGAAACACAATGGAGCGGTGTCCCAGAGGAGGCGGTTGAACTTACGAAGGCGCTCCTGCAGTTTGACCCGACTAAGCGGCCGCGCGCGCAAGAGGCGCTTCAGTTCGCTTGGTTTCGCACAAGCGATGACGGAAGTCATGTCGATAGCACCTTTGGTAAAGAGACGTGGCCACTGCCAATGCGCGAGCTCGTTGGGGACCGCGAGTACATAAAACGGGCGTTTGACGCCATGAAGCCACCGGAGAGTACTCTCTACGACGGCAATGGCGCCCCCGTCGGTGGGCGTTGTATTAGTGTCCCATTCGGTGCGTCGCGCTCCTCCGTAACATCGTACTTTGGCTTCTGTCCGTAGAAAACAGAAGCTATAGCAGCTTTTCCGGCTGCAATGTAGCTTGGTGCCGCGCACATTGATACACAAGCAATTTACTCGCATACGCCGTCCTGTTTTTTTATCTCCCCCCTCTATCATTTCCTTTTCTATATTCCCCTCTGCCTCCTTATTTCACTATCATCGTGATGCACTCAACGTCGCTGGTGCGTATAGCTGCTGGGGGGGGGNGGGGGGGGGGGGATTCCCTCTACTATTGAAGCGCTCTCCTTGGTTCGTCTGTTTTCATCATTATTCTTGTTCATCCTTCGCCTTGGTTCTTTTTTTTTTTCTCTTTTTTTGTGTTGTTGTTGTTCTTGTGTGCTTTCGTTTTGTCTTCCCTTGACTCGTGTTGGGCTGCACAACCAAAACGGCTACGCGCACACGTACGCATACAATCATTCCGTTACGGTTAGTAGTAATTAGCGCGTGAAATTAACGCATCAGAATACAGTCACACAAGCAGAGTGAGTGAGTAAGTTTTCAATAAACGAAAAGGAGAGAAAGTGAAACGTACACCTAAAAAAAAATGTCCCGGCGGTCTGGTGAACATGTGCGAGAGATGGAGAGTGAAGATGCACCTAGGGAAAAACGCAAGCGCCTCGAGACGAACGAGGCAGCTGAGGATTCTTCCTCTGCAGTCGCTGCTGCTGGAGATGCTGCGGTGCCTAACAACGGCTCCGTCGCGACAAGCCGTCCTTTCACTGATTTCGGCATCTCCGACGGCACAGTTAAGGCGTTGCGCAGCCAAGGCATTGAGACGCTCTTCCCGGTGCAGGCCCTTACGTACGAGGCAATCATGAAGGGTACTGATGTGCTTGTGCAGGCGCGAACTGGCAGCGGCAAGACGCTCGCCTTCAGCATTCCCATCGTGGAAAAACTCGCACAGTTGGACGACACCTCGAAGCGCGGCCGCGGGCCTGCCGCGGTCATCTTCTGTCCCACACGAGAACTCGCCATTCAGGTGCGGGACGTCGTTGCCGGCATCAGTGGTGGACTCGTTGTGGCGGCGCTCTACGGCGGCGTTGCGTACAACACACAGGAGCGTGTTCTTTTCAATGGTGTTGACGTTGTCGTGGCCACCCCGGGTCGCGCAAAGGACTTCCTGGAGAAGGGTACACTGCGCTTTGACCGGGTGAAAATGGTGTGCCTCGACGAGGCTGATCACATGCTGGACATCGGCTTCAAGGACGATATTGAACAGCTACTGCAGAAGGTGGCGGAGCAGAATGGTTCCGAGGCCGGGAAGCCAAGCCACCAGACGCTTCTCTTCTCCGCGACGGTGCCAGATTGGGTACACACATGCTCCTTCATCTCCAAGAAGAAGGAGTTCATCGACATGGTTGGCCATGGCACGATGCGTACCGCCAACACCATCAAGTTCTACCGTCGCAAGTGCAGCTTTAACGAAGTCTCCAGCATGCTGGCGGACTTGGTGAAAGTGTACAGCGGTCGCCATGGTCGAACCCTCGTTTTTACCAATACTAAAAAAGACTGCCATGACTTGTCCATCAATAACACGAAGCTGGACTCTCAGTGCCTGCATGGCGACATGCAGCAGGAGCAACGTGAAAGCACAATGAAGAGCTTCCGCGACAACAAGTTCAGCGTTCTCATCGCGACAGACGTTGCCGCGCGCGGGCTTGATCTGCCGATGGTGGACCTCGTTATTCAGTGCGCGCCCCCTGCCGATATCGATGCCTTCATCCACCGCGCCGGTAGGACTGGCCGTGCCGGCCGCAAGGGCGTCTGCGTGCTGCTGCACCAGCCGAAAGATGAGTACGTCGTGGAGCGCATCGAGCGCCACGCGAAGATCAAGTTTGAGGTACTCCCCGCGCCAACACGCGACGAGATTCTCAAGGCGGTGGCGCGAGACACCGCGGAGGATTTGGCGCGCGTGGAACGCAGCGCCACTGATCTCTTCATGGACCAGGCGGCTGAGCTGCTGAAGGACGCGGACCCGACGGAGATTCTTGCCTCTGCCCTCGCCGTCATGAGCGGCTACACCACGAATATCACAAAGCGCGGCCTCATCACTGGCGCAAAGGGCTCCGCGACGATACAAATGTTGGCACAGCGTACGCTCCCCATTCCTGTTTTCTGCAGCATTCTGCGTAACAACCTTGGTGATAACCTTTTCACGCGGTGCCGCGACATCACGCTGCTGCAGGACACCCCGGGCTGTGTGTTTGACGTGACGGAGGAGGCGGTGGAGCAGATCCTCGCAACGCCCGTCCGCGGGATGGAGCTGAGCGTCATTGAGTCGCTGCCACCCATCATTGCACGGGAACTGAACAGCGGCAATCGCGGCGGCCGCGGAGGTGCGCGTGGCGGTTACGGCGGTGCGCGTGGCGGTTACGGCGGTGCTCGTAGCGGTTACGGCGGTGCTCGTAGCGGTTACGGCGGCAATGGTGGCGGTGGCCACTACAGCAATGGCCGTGGTGGTGGCGGCCGCAGCACTCACAGGAATTACTGACGCTTGTGACCCAATGACGCGCGTGATGGATTCGACAGTGCGGTGCAGTTTGTGTGTCTCTCTCCCTGTGTGTTTCTGTGTGTGCGAGTGCGTAGGAGCGCAAATAAAAGGGACATCCAATGTGTTGTAATGCGTCTTCTAAACCTCCTGGGTGGTGTGGATTGTATCAGGGAAAGCAAGAAAGAGAAGGAAAAGAAGAAGAAACAAGAAAAAACCACTCCCACAAGTAAGGATAATGGTATATATATATATATATATACATAATAAAGACACGTTTAAATCTGACTTCAAGATAAAATGGTAGTGTGCAAGGGGAAGCATGATGGTGACAGTAGGCCTACTCGACACAGCACTTCATTCGCTTCTGCCTCGTTCTCTCTCTCTCTCTCTCTCTTTCCCTCCGTGTGTGTGTTCGCATGGCATACCGTGTCACTACGTGGTTTCAATGTTTCCTCTGGCCCAACACATACAAAACAGCCAACAAACAAAGAAAGCCACGTCAATAGCGAAGGGATGGCTGGACGCTTTCGCGGCGCGGTTGGCAAGCTGTCAACGCCAAAGAAGAGCAGAACAGCAAAGAGGGCTAAGGGCAAGAAGACCGTCGCGCTTGTGAAACGCGCCCCCAAACTCTCACCTGCTAGTCTGCAGAAGCGCATCGCTGAATTGACGGGCGCGGCCCCACAGGATAGGAAGGAGGCTGCCGTCAAGAAAACCAAGACGAAGATCGCGGCGCAGAGCACCACGCGAGCCGCACCAATGCTACAGAAACCAGTTGGCCGCGCTGCTATGGAAATTGTGGGTACCAAAATCGAGAAGATTGTGCCAAAGACCGACCTTTCCGCGGAGCGCACACCCGCGGAAGCGATGGGGCTAAAGCTGCTGCACCGCGCTGTAAAGAATCAGAGCCACAACCGCCTGTTGCAGCACCAGAACCGCCACGACTACGAGTACCGTCTTCGCACTGTCGCCACGACAGGTGTGGTTCGTCTCTTCAACTCCCTCGCACATGCTCGCAAGGCGGGCGAAGCTGTGGAGGCACACGAGAAGCAGTTGACGGCGGATAAGGCCCATGAGAAGAAGCAAGTAGCCACTAAGGAGGCGTTTCTCGCCGCCCTCCGCCAGCCGCGGCGGATGGAGAAGTATTGACTGCATCATCTGGGTGTAAAAGTTCGATTAATTTCCCCCCACTGCGGTTGCTGCTGCAGATTGGTGCTAGGGCACACTTTCTTTCCGATGCGACGTCGTGCACGTCAGACTATGTGCGTAGACAGTACTCTCCCTTCTCTCTTTTTTTTTTGCTATTATGGCTGACTGCCCTGGACCACACACACACACACACACACACACACACACAAACGTAGTACAGCTCGAGGATGGGCAAGAAAAAGGAGAAGATACCGCCGCCCGGCACCAGCAAGGACCCGACGACGAACTTCTTCAGCAGGAGGAAGTGGAAGGCGGCACTCCTTTCGCCTGTGTTGGAGCTGCAGGGGAGGAACCTCATCCCCCGCGGTGCGCTTATCATCGGTACCGCCCTCATGAAGAGTCGGCATGTGGTGCGTCTAGACCTTGCGCAGAACCACATTGGCGATGAGGGGGCTGTGACGATGGCGGAGGTTCTTCGCAGGAACGAGAGCATTCAACATTTGAACCTCGCGCAAAACGACATTACGGATGTTGGGGGCATTGCGCTGGCGAGCGCCTTCATTCCGAATGTCAGCCCCAATGGGCAGCCCGGACAGTGGAACCGTACACTTTTTACGCTCATTCTAGCGGCTAACGACCTGGGCGACGCCACGCTGCTCGCAATGAGCAAGGCGGCGGCGTGCCACCGCGACCTCACGCGAGTGGACCTGAGCTGGAACAACATTGGCCCGATGGGCACAAAGTGTCTGCTGCGCTCCATGCAGCGCAACCCGTTGTGCGTATACAACCTTATGGCGAACAAGATCGGTGATGAGGGGACAGAGTACCTCTGCGAGGCGATGCAGCGCTTTGCCGGGAAGGGTATAACATCGCTCAACTTGTTCCGCAACGATGTACGGCACCGCGGGTGCAAGGCCGTTGGCCGGCTGTTGGAGAACAACGAGCACATACTCGACCTCAGTCTCCACAGCAACACACTTGGACTGAAGGGGATGCAAGAGCTGCGTCCACGCTTTGTCGCCGCACCGAATCGCGTGCGCTCGCTTAATCTCTCCAACTGCATGCTTGGCGACGACGGTGCACTGGAGGTTGCGGCTCTCATCGCGGCAAACCCTCCATCGCTGGAGCGACTGAGCATCGCCGACAACGGCCTCACGGATGACGGTGGGGTCGCCATCGTGAAGGCGCTTCTGAAAAATACAGCCCTTGTCGTTGTCAACTGCGCAGGTAACACTTTCGGCACCAAGACGGTGGAGGCAACGGAGGAGGTAATACGCACAGCCAAGGTTCTGAAACTGCTGGATTTCAGTAACACGATTGAGTCCATTGACATGAGGCGTACGCTTGCCTTTTCGGCCAACGATGCGGATGGCATTCGTGTTGAGGTAGGCGAAATGCAGGGGGAGACACTCGACGACATGCTGCAGCACGTGGCGGATCAGATGCAGATGATCCTTGACGCGGAGGCGGAGAAGGCGAAGAACAAGAAAGCTAGACGGCAGACAAAGAAGGAATGAGTCGGTGCGTATGCCTCGCTGTGTCTTTTGTCTGTATGTCTGTGGAAGTGGTGGCGTGAGGGAGAGTAGGGAGGAAGAGGGGGAAGATGCGGGTGTTTGATGTAAACAAGAACTACAATCAAGGCAACAACAACAAAAAGCACAAAAAAAAACCGAAGTATCTCCTTTCGTCAGAGTGACGACGCCCGTTTGTGAGGCGAGCGAGTCCCTACAAATACGTGTTTACATATGGATGTGTGCCTGTGTATATCTCTGTAGGGAGCGCGGCTGCAGGTTATGGCTCTCTTGGCTTTCCATATTTCCATCCCCACTTTTTGCGCTCTTGTTTGCTGCCTCGTGGTTTCCTTCTCTTACATGCTTTTCTTTCGATTTTTTGTGGCGCCCTCGCGTGCACGCGTGGCAGGAAGGAGAGAGCGTAAAGGAAGACGGAGTCACTATCCATCCATGCCGACCGCTGTGATTAAGCCCCCTAACCTGAAGAAGCTGCTCGGCGAGCAGCAGCAGCTTCTGGTGGCACTGCCGCGGCCGCCGACCCCGTCGTCGGTGTACCTGTCGGCGCCAGTGCTGCCGCTGACGAGCGTGTACCACTCGCGTGGCGCCGTCACGGCGATCGAGGACCGTCCTCGGTGTGCCGACGGCGGTGAAGACGAGGCGGCGAAGGAGGCGCCGCTACTCTCGGAGTTGCTCAATGCAGCGCCACGCGTGAGCCTCGACGTAGAGAAGACGCTCTCACTAGCGTGCAAGGTGCTTGCCAAGGCCCACTGTCAGTCACTCGAGCTCTCCGGCGATGCGCGGGAGTCGCTCGGCCGAATCACGGACTTCGGCACGTGTTGCCCCGCCCTCACGGCGCCACCCGCGTAGCGAAGGAAGACCCGCACGCGCGCGGAACGACAAGAACAATAACATGTACACGATTTACACACGAACAATAAAAAAAGTTTGTTTACTTTTAGTATGTGAAGGAATGTGGTGGGGAATGGGAATGGGAATGGGGAGGGGAAGAGAAGAAGAGAGAAGCAGAGACCAGTCGCACGGAAGAACGCAGCATATCGTAGGGTGTATTTCATTTAATGTACACTCGTGCGCCGCACCTTTTGAGTTTTCTTTTCTTTCATTGAGGAGCAAAGTTGGGGAAAAAGGAATAGGGGGAAAAACCTTTTGAAACGTCGGGAACATTGCGCTTGGCCGTGCTGTGGTTCTTTTCTTTCGGCATCACCCTCTCGCTCTCGCTCTATCTCCGCTCCGCCTCATGCTCACGCGCGGACGGAGCCATGCACGCCCACACACCTAGACGTCACTTCCTGTCGATCTTCCCTTGCTCCCTCCTCCTTCTCCTTCTCCCTTCTCCCTTCTCCCTTCTCTCTTTAACTGCCTCTGCCTGCATGATTTCTTACGGCTAAGCAGGTAGCTTTGTGAGCTCCCGTCCTCAGCGGTGTACCGTCTGCTAGGAAGCCGAATCCAAGGATCCTGAGCGAAGAGAAAGCAACGAAGATAAAAAGAAAAAAAAAAACGACAAGAAAAAGAACAATGGACCCGCCGAATGTGCCGTCGTCGCCACAGGCTCCGCCTGACCTCACACCGGTGGGCATCAGTCCCTCCTTTCGTTCCGACACAATCATCACACTTGAGATGGCGCAGGCTGTCACCATCAACCGCGAGCGGCTCTCGGAGTGGCACCACAAGATACGATCGAAGCTTTTCCCATTGGTGTCAGGCTTCTTTGTCCGCTGCCGCGTCGAGGACTCTACCGATGGCAGGGCACTGTACAAGGTGGGCCGCATCAAGACGTTGAAGCCAGACTGGTCGGTCGAGCTTGATCTCATCACGACGGATGAAATACTGTCGGGTCGCAGCAACACCAACTATGACTGTATCAGCAACACTAAGCTCACATCATTGGAGTTCAATACTTTTATTTCCAAGGTGCCACCTGAGCTGCTTCCAAACGTCGCCAACACCGTCTTCAAGATGGAAGAGCGTCTGCGTCTGATGGAGAGCGTCATCCTGGCGGAGCCCGCCTTCCACGGGAAGCGGCGCGATGAAAAACGTGGGCACGACAACGCACAGGGCTCCGGAGCGGCGTGCGTGCCGGAGAAGTATGTCTTTTCGCAGAATGTGCTTCTCTGCGAAGATGACTTTGTAAACCTTCCACAAACAGTGACCATTGTTGATTTGCTGCAGAATGCAGTGGGCCAGAAGGGTGTGGCGGAGCCAGACACACCGCGAGCGGGTATGTCGCCTGGAACGGGGACGAAACCCCGCGCCTTCGATGAGGCGGTCGCCAGCCACAGCACGATGCTGCAGCTGCAGGATATGCGCAACTACATGAACTCCCCAACGCAGCCGCCAATAGATGCGGCACGTCTTATTGACACGATACGCCGTGCCGCCAACCCACACCACAACGGATTCACCTACGAAAGCCTCCCAGAGTTTTGCAAACTCGTCATTTCGGTGTGCAATCAGTGCCGTGAAGTTGTGGCGAAGGAGCCGCTCTTTGTCCGCCTGAAGTCTCCCATCACTGTCTTTGGAGACATCCACGGTAATTTCGCCGACATGGCGTACTTCTTGGAGAAGGTGGTGGCCTTTGATGATATCATGCTAAAGTACACGACGACGCACCTTCTTTTCCTCGGGGACTACGTTGACCGCGGCGCCTTCTCACTAGAGTGCGTTATGTACCTATTCGCCTTGAAGGTGATTAACCCATCGAAGGTGACACTGCTGCGCGGCAACCACGAGTCGCCGGAAGTCAATGGTGACATGGACGTGTACGGCTACAGTTCCTTCAAGTACCAGTGCCTCGACAAGTTCGGTCGTGACCGCGGCATCGATGTGTGGGTGGCCGTAAACGAGGTGTTTCAGTTTCTCCCCGTCATCGCTGACATTGACAAGAAGATATTTTGTGTTCATGGTGGGCTACCACAGTACTCGGGCGGTGAGGACAAGCGACTGGAGATCCTGTCGGACCCCGCCTTCCCGCGTATTCCCGTAGTGCAGTGCACCGACCCGACCAATGTGGCGCAGCGCATGATGGTGAACGACCTGCTCTGGTCTGACCCCGCGCCGCCGAACCACCAGCTCGATAAGTACGGCTTTGGCCCCAACCCACGTGGGCCCGACATCAAGACCTTCGGCTCGCGCGCCGTCGACATGTTCTGTGAGCGCTACAACTACCAGTACATCTTCCGTGCTCACCAGGAGAAGGCCGATGGGCTGCGCCTCTCCGACAACGCTCGAGTCGTGACAATCTTCTCCACATCCGACTATGCCGGCCACCAGAACGGTGCCGGTTGCATTTTAGTCTCGGGGGGAAAGATACGCATGGCTATCAAGAAGCCACAGCGGCAGGAGACGAAGGAGCTCAAGGGGCCCGTCTCTCCCCGGACGCTGGGGAAGAGTGTGCCAGGGTTCGTGCCGCGCCTGAAACGCATATGAGATGCCTGTCTTCACGTGTTTCCTGTGTGCGTCTCTCTCTCTTTTTTTTTCTCTCTCTCTCTCTCTCTCTCTGTGTGTGTGTGTGTGTGTCTGCTGCACCCCTTTTGTGTTTCTTCCTTGGATCACCTTGTTGCTTCATTGTCCTCCCTGCTTGCGGTCTCGTCATTACCATCACCATGATACATGCGTTGCGAATGTGCGAAGGGAAGGAATTGAAAACAACAACAAGAACACGAACGAAAAAAAAAAGACACACTGAGGCGATTAGGCCCGTGCACTCAACGGGGCGATGTTGGGTGCGGGATTAACGCGAAAAAAAAAACAGACAAACAAACAAGAACCAAGCAAGAAGTCAGGGCAGCAAGGGGGTACAACGAGATGTCAAAGAAAAGGAGGCGCGAAGAGAAACAAAAGAAGAACGAAAGATCGAAAGGGAAAATGAATGAGAGGGAGTGGCCTGCTGGTAGTGGTGGTGGTGGTGGTGGTGGTAAGGAGAGGATCTAGAGGTGAATGCTGAGATGAGAGCAAAAAAAAAGACAAATAAACAGGGATGGTGCTAAGGGGAAAGGGAGCAGTAGAATATACGAGCGCTGGGTTGGTGTGGACGGCTGTGCTTGTTTATGCTTGCGCAACTCCTTCTCTCTCTTCCGGTTTTTCTTGCGGGCTTTGCCTCTCTCCCTTTTCTGCTTATATATATATATATTATTATATTATATTATATTA